ATGATTGTGGGAACATCCCACATACTATCACGCTGTGTTGCCGATCAATGGACAACACTCACTCCTAAGTCAATAGCACGTTGCTGCACATTGCTGTCAGCTCTCATATTTATACAGCACTCGCTGTCCAGCTCACTTTTCACCATCATGCGCGCTAACCAATCACATTGCTGCCACCACTCATATTTATACAGCACTCGCTGTCCAGCTCACTCGTAACCATCACGTGTGCTAGCCAATAAACTCTCATAATAGCAACTACAAGTCCAAGCTCCGCCCACCAAGTTTGGTAAAAAGGTGCAGCTCCAACCCAGCAATCATCAATGATCACATCAGCCAGTCAGCCATCACACTTAGTCCAGAGCAATCGGTCTTCAGAGTCATCGGCTCTTCACCGCATCAGGGACGGCTGCCTCAGCCCTCTGGTGGTCATGCCCAACACACCGGGCAACTGGTAAAGCTGCCGCCACTCCAGTGACCGCACTCCATGACCAGACGTCTTCCAGCAACCACGCTCTGCATCCAGGCAACTTCCGGCAACTGCCGCACTGCGACCAGACAACGAACTCACCTGCCGCAACATTATCCAACACACCATAGCCAACGTCTATTTCTACCAGCGCATGCAGCCCTACATCACTGGCCAGACAGACCAGCCAAATGGCCATAAAATTCTATTTACCGCGGTGGAACAAATGGCAATTTTCAGGGCCCACAAACTTTCCGAAGTGGTTGTCTATTGGCGTATCGACAATTCCCACATGATTGACATGACTGGGGAAATGCAAAATAAACTTTGTTGATCATATGTCAACATTCATTTCTGGAGGCACTGTCACCATGTTGATTATATATCTTCATAAAACTGGAAAGGGTTAAATAACACAGTATCTTACACATGAAGTGAGGTCAGTTCATGTACTACAAAATTAGGGGCTTTGGGAACAATACTGCATGATTGGTTTACCAAGAGATCATCCACATTAAGCAAAGATCTTGCAATTTTTACATTACATTCTGTACTCTGCAGTTAGTAAATCAACTGCCAATATAGAAGTAGTTTAAAAATACACATAACCAATATATTCATTTACAGCACAACTCCATGCAGGTAAGAACAGACAACCACTTCAAGGATTCTATTGGTCAGTGAAGATTCCTTGTAGAAAACACAATTTCAAGTAATCTAGAAACAGCAGTACATGAAAATGGCTAACTTACTTTAGGGAAGTAATTATTTTAAATTGGTTACAGGACTGGCTGCTCTGATGTTTTTTACTTTCTTCAAGGTCACCAAATAAATCCTAGGATAGTACAACCACTCCACCTGCATCCCTTCTTATTTATGATTCATCTCATTCTCCAGCTTTGCTAGGGTGAGCTGAGTTGCCAGATTTTGCTTACATTTGATGGCTTTACTATGCGCTGAAAAATTATTATAGTCACTTTTTGCATACTACCTTTCAAATTGCAAATCATATATCAGTCACAAAGCATGAGTGTCTAGCTGATGTGCATTTGTGTGTATTTTAGTGATGGAAGAATGTATTCATCATTTTGACTGACATGGATTTTTGGCAGCCTTGACATGTTTTTATCGGATGATGAATGTTTCTATTGTGCTCAGTTTTGTGTGCTTCTCTTCTTATTCTTTTAATAAGACATTCTAATCTCCCAAATGAAGTGGTGTTTATTGTAAAACATGAGTACCATACAAGTACAATAAATACATTCTATATGTATATCAAGCTAGAGAAATATTAATTAGAACACTATATCAGACTCATCTAAATATTCACCTGTCATTTCTACAATTCTTTTCTTACTTCAGTCAGCAGAAACATGAAATGTCCATTTTCAATCCTTGTCCCGAAGTGATATCACTATAAGAATGACGCCCTTTTGCTCAATGTATTACTACATCATCCAACAGTGGTATCGGTCATTTAGTCGTGTTTAGTTCTGCAATAGTGATCCAGCAAGGTGATGGCCAGTGAAGAGAGAGAAGAGGGAATGAGGAGAGAAGACTAGTTTAGCATAGGACAAAGAGATCCTTCCACATGTTTTCTGGTGTTTTAGATTTGTACCTTCAGCAATTAATACAGCACCATAAAAAATAAATAACGAATTCACTATACAGTTCTTAGTTCCTTTATGTAACTTATTAATATCAAAAGTTTGTGGATATCGTAACTTGCTTCCAGAAACCAGTCACTAACCATGTCTAAAATCAATAAGCTTAATTATTACAGAGACCTCAGATGTGAAGGAAGTAAAGTGAGGACGTTATGCCTGACATCCCCAGCATTTATTAACAATAGGAACATTACAGTTTACATTGCACACATAGAGCAATGGGGCCACAACCTAAGAAACTAACATTTCCCAGGATATAATAACCAACAGAAGGACAGCAACTACAGACATGGCCTCATTGCACTGTGTTAAAAGTAACTCTGGTTTCCAAACAGTGCACAAAAACGTTTTTTTAAGCTGTGACCCTATTTTTCTGGAAGAGCAATATTATGATATTCTGCTGCAATGAATAAAATAAAATAAAATTTTCTTAAAAATGGCAAGTGAATTCAGCAGGGAAAACAAGATTAGCTCAGGTGCCAACACAACTAACCAGCTAATCCAGTGTTTTTCAACTACCGGGCCATCAATTATACCAGGCCCTCAGCTTATAAAACAAGAATTTACTGGGCCGTGGTCTCACAAAGGTTAAGAACCACTGAGCTCACCTGGTTCAAATCTCAGCTGAGACAATGGGTGTCCTGTCTGAAGCTCTTTAGTTGTTTTCGTCAGTTTCTCTAGACAAATAGCAGAAGAGTACCTTGAAATAAGCTGTAACTGCTTCATGACACATACTTTTCACTGTAACATACATAACTATCTTTTCATCTCATTTGGTGTCAAATAATTTCTGCAGATGAAGAGGACCTCATGGACATGGAGCACCAATGTAAAGTCTTATTAAGAGAGTTTGATCTCCAGTCAGATTCTTCTGTTCACACACTGAAACCTTCACGCCTACCAGAGACTAAACTTTGGGAATGGGTTGGTGCCCATGTTAAGCTGTAAATCTCCTCTGTCAATCATTATTCTCATGATCACCATATATAAAAGAATGCACCAGATGGCTAACCCTACCTCAGAAGTGACTTCTGTGCCCTTGCCTTGGTAGACAGAGGCCAGGTAGACCAGGAAGACTACATTGGAGGTACTAGAAAACAAGCAACCAACCATTTCTGCAGCTGAAACAGGTACGAAATAATCTATGGACCAAATGTAGTAAGAAGTACTTTGTCAGTCTACAGAATGGCAGCTGAATGGAGACAATATCTTATTTTGATGCAACAATTTTGAAACAACATTAATCCAAAGCACAATGAACAGTCTTGATTAATGTCATCCCATGTTATTTGATCTCACATGTATTCTAGTACCTAATTACTTTGCTTACAGTGAGTGAGCACTGGTTACAAAATGCATCTTGCAAAGTCATGCAAAGACATATTTTCCATTCCATTGTTTTCATTTTTTATAATTAATTTTTATAACATAATTGATTTAGTGTAAGATGAGTATTCAAACATTTTCAGTGAAAATATAAGTATTCTGTTTAGTTCGCATTAATTATTACTACACTATTTTGTGTGTTCTATTCATTAAATAGCAATATTTTTATTTTATTCTGAATGTAATTACCCATAAACTCGTTACTTTGTCTAGTTGCAGAGAAAAACACAACACTGTGTGACTAGCTCACAAAGATTAACAAAGTTTGTTTCTGTTTTAGATCAAGCAGTGGAAACAAGATACATACAAAATATATTTTTTAAACAAAATGAGCTGCTTTTTAAAACCATGCCAGTTTTGATTGCAACTTGGTGATAATGCCAGCCAGAAACACTGTGCCATAGCTCAAGCAATTAGTGGCTGGCTTCCCACCGCGGCGGCCCAGGTTCGAACCCGGGTCTGGTCAAGTGGGAATTGTGGTGGACAAAGTGGTGCTGGGGCAGGTTTTCTCCGAGTACTTTGGTTTCCCCTGCCAATCTTCATTCCACCAAATCCTCCATCATCATAATCACCTGGGGCAGGTACAATAGGCCAATAAGCGGCCAACGTACCAAGTGGAGCCAGCTGGACTCAACCCCCCACTATGCAAATTAAATGGTGATAATGCCAGCACAGTAACATTAAGATTAATGTCTTCTGGAATGTGATGTGATGTAGTCTGGCAAGAGTTTACTGATATTTTCGCAGAATGTGCTACCTCCAACAATTCTCACCCTTGCCTTCTTTCCTCTGTCACATCTTTTCGTCCTCCCTACTCTGCCTACTGTCTCTGTTAGTATTTTTGCCCTTCCCCCCATCCACTCTCTTATTAAAACAGACCTTTTATGGTCACTATTTTTTACTGCATCTCCCCTGACCTCCATATACCACCCACTGGTCACCAAGTGCCATTCTTTCCCACTTCTGTATTCTGGGGGGGGGGATCAAGGACCTCACAGTCTTTCATCATTCTCCTTAGCCTGATGGGTTAGTTCAGGGCTGCTATCACAGCTGTCCTTCCTACAATATCCAGCCATACCACTTCTTTCCACATTTGGCTTATGCTTCTATCCTGGAGATTCAGACAGCATGTTGGTTCCTCCAAAACACCAGTAAACATCTACCAGAGTACATGGTGTCACATCCCAGAAGCCAGTAATCTTCAGTCACTGCTGTGAGATCCTCAAATAACCTACAGTAAAAATCATTCAGTGCTGAAAAGCTGTCTCCTTGAAAGCCTTGAAGTTATTCTAGTGTTGAAATTTCATGCGTAGTTATTTTTCTAATTGTTATGTTACATATTTGCAGATCAATTCTTTTACACTTAACTTTTATACATCTTAAAGTCTTTGCTCCTGGATCACAAGAGCACATTTCTTATCCGACCTGTTAATAATTTATCAGAAATATAAATCTGCACTGATTTGATATATGGCAACTAAACTGTCGTCCACTGTGCACATATGAGTGATATTCATATCACACTTATACATCTCATCACACTGCTCTACATTTTGGTATTCACAGCTTCATATCACCTCCTTCAGCATGTTGACATGTAACCAGGTGACAATGCTAGTAGGTTTAATCTCTCATATTGTCAAAGCTGGTTGATCACAAAGCTTCATCTCCAGGCCCATAATGACCATTACGATTCAGTGGTTCCTTTTCTGGTGCACTACTGGGTCTGTTCCTTTTGAAGAATCCACACTGAAAAAACAGAAGCAAATAAGTATGCATGTACGTAGACTTTACAATTTCTATTCCAACAAAATGAAACGTTCCTTCTTTCATTTTAACATCTTAGTTGCTGATTATGGGACCATACAGTATCTCAGCATCAAACAGCTCACAATATGAGCGCTGTCACTGATAAACTTTGTTCTTTCTTCAGCACATATCATTCAGTTCACAAAAACCCTTGCTGACTTTTGAATGAAAATACTTATCAACAATCAACCTACATGATAGAATAATTCATTTCCCCAACTCAAAATGTTCTTACTAGTTTTTACTTGTGGCTGCTACCCACATAAATAAACTGACATTTAAAAACTGAGCACTAAATGTGTCATCAATACCTAATATGGTTCCTTATCAAAAACTGCTCAATTAAACATGGTCACATTAGTCTTCTGCCAGACAGTGAATTATAAGTAAGGCACAAGCAATTAAGTAGTTCTTTGAAGAAAGTCGTCTTCTGGGTTTAGGCACCGTGTATTCTTCGTTTTGGCCAACGTTCCTCCGAAACGTCGGCCAAAACGAAGAATACACGGTGCCTAAACCCAGAAGATGACTTTCTTCATTGTCATCGCCGTGAAAACCTCAAAGCTTTCAAAGTAGTTCTTTGTTAAAAAACAAATTATTTAAATTCTTTAGCTCAGTCAGCGTAGCAAATAAGCAATGAGCTGAATGAGTGGGGTTCATCTCCTGGTAGAGGCATGTAATTTTTCTCTTCTCCATAGTGTCCAGACTGGCTCTTGAGCCCACACAGCCACCTGTCCAATGGGCACTAAGGACCCTTTAACTGAAGGAACAGTGGCAGGGGTGTGAAGTTGACTGCTCACCTCCATCTAATGCCAAGGTCAAGAATGGTGGATCTATACCTCCAATCTCTACTCCCCCATATGCCTTCATGGATTATTCATTAATTACATACATACATACATATATAAAATTGCATTTCATAACATTCATAAATGTGCTCATCAACCCTGAATATAAAAGTTGTTAAAAACACACAAATTACCATAAGACAATTACAACAAGAATACAAAGAAAGGTAAAATATAGCATTTACATCAAGTGATATACACACTGTCACATGTAGGGGGGGATGCATGATGAAAATAATGGGTTCTAGTTCGAATGATTGGATTTATTAGCACTTCAGTTAGAATCTCTCCACTTTCCAGTTCACTGCCGCACAAGCACTAGGATTCTCTGTCTTTGTTAGTTATCTCTGCCAATGGGTCTCAACACAAGAAAGTAGCACTTCATATTGCTATGAAGTCATCTTATCATTTCTTGTTCAATTGCCCTAAAACCTTGGAACTCAACTAAAAACTCTTCAGGGCTCTAATTCCAGTATTCTCTTATTTACTCTCAGCATGAACACCACAGAAAACACATGTCACATGTCAGACGGTGAGTTCATTGGTCCATCACCAGCACTGGGCATGGTGTGGATGACATAGAAAACACAGCCTCCTCTATTGTTGTGTAACCTAGCAACAGACTGTTTACCAAGAATCTGTTTTTGTGGGAACTTATTTACCAACCTGTTGCCTAGCAAAATGTGTACATGGAACAATACAAGAGTTATACATACAAACACCAGGAGTACAATAATGGGAGTGATTTATGATTAGTAAATAGTATAATAAAAGATAGAAGACATTAAAAAAACAGTGTAACAATTTAGGCCTTTTTAGTTGTGTATATGTATGCCTATGGGGTAACATATGGTTGTCATATGGTCATGGTATGAGAATTCTACTCAGCAGGTATAAGTAATGTATTATCTAATTTTATTCCCCATGTCTCTAAGGTATAAATCCTGACAATAATTAAAAAATTCATTAACTGAATAAAACGAATTATATATAAAAATTTCTTTCAATTTTCCTATGAACTGGTTTTCATCTCCAACTAAAAATTTTGGCAAACTGTTAAATATTTTTACACTCACATAATGAACTCCTTTAGTCTTAATGACAGATGTAATTCTAATACATGAAGGTTACCTCTATGCCTTGTTAACTTATTATGAATTGCACAATTAAAGGTAAAATGCTCTAAATTGTGTATCATAAAATTCATCAAAGATAGTACATATTGCCAACTTTAGCAGATAGAGAGTGTCACATGGTCAGTGGAAATTTCGGTTTTCTAGACTGAAGCCCCTATTTCCTTCATATAGTTCCTCAATTATCCTCACGAGGCTGAGTGGACCCTGTTCCAGAACCACTACATCTCAGAAAATCTGGTAGTGCTGGGAATCGAACCCAGAACCTCTGGTTTTGTAGCCAGGAGCTCTGACCACTAGACCACGGAGGTGGCCAGTTGGCACTCACTTCATTGACAAGTGGTGGTCACTCGGTCAGTATAGTCTGCTTTGAGACTCAAGCCATGGGGTTTAGTTTTAGTTTAGTTTCTTTTTTAGTTTTAGTATACGTGGTGCAATCCAAAAGTTCCTAAAATATATTAATAAAAACTATTACGTCTTACCTGGATCTTATTCTGCACCATCACCTTCAAAGTAGTCCCTTTGGGAGCGCATACACCGATCCCAGCGTTTCTGCCACTTTTCAAATGCATCCTGGAAGTCTTTCTTTGTTAGGGTGCTTAGTACCGTCTGTGTTTCCATTTGAATTTCCTTAACTGTATCAAATCTTTGCCTCTTCAACTTGATTTTCAACTCGGGGAAGAGAAAGAAGTCGCATGGAGCTAAGTCTGGCGAGTACGATGGGTGGGGAACAACTGCCATCTTGTTTTTAGCAAAAAATTCCAGCACAATGTAAGCTGTATGTGGTTGTGCATTGTCGTGGTGGAGTACCCAGCTGTTCTTGTGCCACTTCTCTGGACGTTTTCTCCTCATGTCCTCCTTCAAATGCCTTAGAACATCGCGATAGAACTCTTTATTGACTGTCTGACCAAAAGGGACACACTCCTTATGAACAATCCTGTCAATATCAAAAAACAGATCAACATGAACTTAATGTTGATTTTGACTTGTCGAGTTTTTTTGGCTGAGGTGAAGAAGGCTCTCTTCCATTGTGACGATTGCTGCTTACTTTCAGGGTCGCAGCCATAAACCCAACTTTCGTCACCAGTGACAACCTTCAAAAAAAGTTGGGATCCTCTTAAAGCTGTTGTTGAAGTTCCCTGCAGACTTCCAAGTGATGCTGCTTCTGTTCATTTTGCAGCAGTCGTGGCACAAACTTTGCCACAATCCTCATCAGGTTCAGTTCCTCTGACAAAATTTGATGACATGTACCATAACTTAGTCCCAAGGTGTTACAGAGGTCTTGGATGGTCAGTCTACGATCTTACAGAATCAGATCCCTAACTTTCACAACATTTTTTGGTGTGGTTCCAGTTGACAGCCGTTCTGAATGATCATCATCATCATCATCAATTGATGTTCAGCAATTTTTGAAACGCTTATACCAGTCGTAAGTTTGTGTCTGGCCTAAACTGTTGTCACCAAAACCTTGCTTCAACGTTTAGTGCATTTCTGTAGTGGTTTTCCCAAGTTTAAAACGAAATTTTATACAGACACGCTGCTCTCTCAGATCAACCACTGCAAAACCGCAAACTCATGGAAATAAAACAATGGAAATACGTTCACCAACAATAAATCTAACCACTCAACTCGACGCTGCTTTCCACACTGATTCAAGAAGGGTGTGTGGGGAGACACCTAGCAGTATTTCAATGTACTCATAACCATTTGTGCACAAAATTCAAATTTCGGGAACTTTTGGATTGCACCACGTATATTGCAGGACCATTGTTAGTATATTTAATGTTTTAAATGCTGGGCTGCATGTGCTTGTATGCTTTATTCCCATCATTATTACATAATTAAGTATAGAGGTACCACTTGTCTATTAAAGAGAACTGTACTGAAGTGGAAGAAACATAGTCTGAAAGCTCCAGTACCAGGAGCAGGATAGAGTTATATTACTTACTACATGAGGACAGTTATGACTGCCTCTTTGAGTTAAGGAATGTGGATAAAATATACACATATGTGGTGAAACGTAAAATACTGAGCACAGTCAACTTTCATAAGTCAGAGTTCAGGATGACGGTGTGTTATTAAACTGAAGTACATATTGGACATTTTCTGTCATCACACTATTGGTTAAGAACTACAATGTTATGAAGACAGATTTATTTCTGTCCTAAGGAAGCAGACTCAGTCCAAAGTGTTGTGTTGTTAACCAAAAACAGGACAACAGAGAATGTTGAATATTTTTGTAAGCTTAAGTTAATTTTTATGTATTACTAGGGGCCCTCCCTGCACACATCAGTCTGATGCTGAAAAAAACAAGTTTCAAAAACCTTTTCTAATAAGCACTTTCCATGAGACTGGCAACAAATGATGACAGAGAGGATACTGTTGGCAGATCCACCCACAGGTAGTGTATTCTGTGTTCTGTCAGTATAGTGTTACCATATTCTCAGGCAACATCACAATAATTTTACTGTACAGAGAGAGAAATTGGAGAAGTTTCACCTTCCAGAGTAAGAATACAAGTAGCAGGAGAATGACAGCTCCAGCACATGCAGACAGAACAACAATCCAAAGTGGTACAATCTCTGGTTTCGGTGGTGCATCTGTGGGCACCACTTCAGTGATCACTTCTTCTGTGCGTAGGCTGACTTGATCAGGTGCACCGATGTATGGCAGGTGTGTCAGTTGTGTTGCAACCAAACTTGAAACATTGGCAGGCCGGTTGTATCCAAGCTACAAACCACCATTGCAACATTAACATTCATGGATTAATATACACAATGTATGTAATGACAGATCATTTACTGAAGTAAAGTTATATGCATTTATTATAATTGATAATTTTATAATTTATTTAACATCCATAACTGTTAGACAGGCACAATTGAACAAATCAGTTGAAAGCAGCCAAATGCTACATGTCAACAACACTTAAAAATGTATAAAGCAAAATATAAATCAATAAATAATAGAATCCCTTTTTGATTAGTAACCCCTTGCTGTAACTTACCAACCATGGTGACAACTACCAGCAATTCAATACAAAGCAATAAATAAACAACCAAAAATACAAATGAGTCATATAAAACAAACCATCACACATTTAGTGACGGTAACAGACCAAAGATCATCTATATACTTCCATATCACATGAAGACCAACTTGAGTTACCAAACTACTGTCTATCCTTGTTACTAAAAAAATCTTGTAGAAAATAAATATGGTTTTGTAATAAACACGTTTTTAATTTATTTTTAAAAACCTTAAAATCTTCTATTATTAGTTTGAAGGGTAAGTTGTTTTGTATTTTTATCAGGTACAATAGGTCAATCAGTGGCCGCCCTGCCGAGCGGACCCAGTTAGACTCCACCCCCCCCCACTAAGCGAATTTGTATTTTTATTCCCATATTAATTACACATTTTGGCAACAAGCAGTGTTGCATAACTGAATATACAAATCCCAAAACAGAACCCTGAGGTACACCATTTTTAATTTCTTTACATGATAAAGTATGTGTCTTTATATCTGAGGTCTTTTCATCTAATTGCTGTATTTCCACAAATTGAGTTCTACCTGTAAAATGTGAACTCATCCATGGGTGTAGTTTTCTTCTAAGACCATACTGCTCAAATTTAGCAAGCAGTAGTTTCTGATTTATGACATCAAAGGCCTTAGTTAAATCTATAAATATACTCGTATCCATAACTAATAGCTCATAATCTAATGCTTTCTGGATATCTTCTATAAAGTTTTGTGTTGCTGTATTAGTAGGTTTCTTCTCTATGAAGCCATTTTTAGCCTCAGATATCATGTTGTGTTTATTTAGGAAGGTCACTACTTTTTTACATATTAATATTTCAAGAATTAAAAAAACAACGGCAAAATTGAAATTGGTCTATAATTGGAAATTTCTTGTTTCCTTCCTTTTTTGTAAATAGGTCAAACTTCAGCAATCTTCATCAAATTTGGGAAGGTTCCAGGGCATAATGAAATATTAAATATAAAGGTTAGTGATTATTTACTAAACTGAATGCTATCTTTTACTAGCTATTCTGGTATTTCACCATAGCCTGCTGAAAATTTACCTTTTAGTTTACTGGTTACATTTAATGCCTCATCTTCAGTAATTTTGGCAAGAAACATGGAACTTGAATTTAATATTTTATTAATAACAATATCATGACCAAATTTATAGTCCTTATTTTGATTTAACAACCTATCCTCATTTCTCTATGAGGAAAGCATTGAAATGATGGGATATGTACTGGGGATTTGTAACTATCATGGAGCTTATTTTAAAGAAATGTCCTGATTTGTTTCTTGATAATTCTCTGATTCCTTTTTTATTATTTGGCATAATGTCTTGGTATGATTTATTGACCTTGAAATTATTATGAAATGTTCTCTTTTTTGTGCTTCCAATATCAATTTCTTATAATTAATTTGATATTTCTTTATATAGTTCAATGTTTTTCTGGACGAAGACATCTTTTTCTTTAAAAAACATAACAATTGCAGCCTCTGTCCCAATACTTTTATCCCTTTCATTGACCAGTACTTGAGATACTCGGTTAAAAAGGAAGTGTAAGTAAACGTTTTGAATTGTTTCATTTTTGGTCCGTTACACTATCAATCACAAAGTCAATGAAAAATCCGTCGAGTGTAACAATGTTTTTAGGTCACTTCTTTATCTCACTTGCCTTACATGTTTCGGTTTAGGAAAACCATCATCAGAGGCACATATTACAAACACATGAAAACACTGGCGTAGTATAATGTACGCAGTATATATGCTGCGTGGACGCTGCTAAAAATAATTTGAGGGCAATTTTCGGATGGAATGCAAGAGTTGAACGTGCATTCAATATTCCTAGAAAGTGTTGTGCTTTTACACTTCGACATTTGTAGCAGCGTCCACGCAGCATATATACTGTGTACATTAAACAACGCCAGTGTTTTCATGTGTTTGTAATATGTGCCTCTGATGATGGTTTTCTTAAACCGAAACATGTAAGGCAAGTGAGATAAAGAAGTGACCTAAAAACATTGTTACACTCGACGGATTTTTCATTGACTTTGTAAGTAAACGTCTTCCCATATTTCAATTTTAACTGATTGTTAAGTATTTCTATATTTCTTTTTGAGAAGATTCTTCTTACAGTTTTCCCTAAATGAATCGAGGAGTATTTAATAGCTACGTTCATAACCTGGGCAAAATGGTATGATAAAATATCTTAGTTCTCATAATTACATCAATTAAAGAGCTTGAGTTTCTTGTAACTCTCGTTGGACAGCAACCATATTTAATAAATTGTTCGACAACAACAAACTTAATAAAGCTTTTTGATTAATATTTTCTTGTAATAGGTTGATATTCAAATAGCCACATATCACCAAAAAACGTCCATTTTCATAATGTTGTATTTTAGCGTCCTGTTGCACTGATTTTCGTCCATGATATGTATGTAGTGTCTGTCTTTTAGTGCACTCAATTTCACTTGTTATTTCACAACATGTTTCAGCACTATAGTGCCATCATAAGGTGCTCCATTTACGTTAATCTATTTCATTGCTTGCCATTATGTCATTGTAAAATTTAAAAAATATTTTAAAATGTTTGTCAATTATAATAAATATTTATATACTAAAAACTTGTTAAGATAATTTATCTTATCTGTCTCAATTCTAACACCACGCATAGTTCCACTACTATGGGAGTCGTTCCTCTTACTCTCAGTGTATATTGTGTCTTGTGTTGTGTGTTCCCTTTTTGGTTGCGGGTCTTGTGAAATAACAAGTGAAATTGAGTGCACTAAGAGATGGACACTACATACATATCATGGTCCATTTTCATTACCTATAATTTAATCCAATATTCCTAGAAAGATTTTTATATCACTGTGATGAGATCTATATATACAAATTATTATAATTTTGAAATCAACTAATTCGGTACAGATATATGATATAACTCCATCCTAAGTGCAAACTATATTTATAGGTCTTTCGTTTTGTTCCCCTTTATACACTACATGTTTCGGCCCCAAATGGCCATCATCAGGTGTACACACTCATGTATCTGTTACACTGCACTTATTTATAACATTTAAAACTTAAAAACATAGGTCCTCCCGATTGCTTCTCTCGTTGTTAGTACCAAAATCCACCTTGCTGATATCTTTGTTATTTACACACATCAATTCTGATTTATCTGAATTAGCACTTATAAAATCTTCAGTTCTAATTTTAAATCCTTTAAATTTTTTTTTCTCTAAAAATTTTAAAATTTAGAGAAAAAAATTCTTATGGTTAGTCTCAGCGTCAAGGTTGTCATATGTGGTACACAGAGGTGTGGGTTTTGTACACACCAGTACACACCAATTGTATGACAGAATGCCTACTGGTATGTAGCAGCTGAAAAAACACTGATTGTCATGTAACTGGTTTGACAGGTATTGGGCCATGTAACTAGTTCAAGCATTGTTCCGAGAATCATATTTGGAGATACAATCTCTGGATATAGAACAAGACAATTACTACATATTAAAATAACATACATATCATACATGAGTCAGCAACACTCATGATGATGATGATGATGATGATGATCATCATCATCATCATCATCATCATCATCATCATCATCATCACTGGCATGACAGCCCTTTGTGAGCCCTGGCCTTCCTCAGGATTGCTTGCCATTCTTCCCCATTCCATGATACATTCTTCCAGTTCTTTACACCCAAAATTCTTATGTCCTGCCACACACATTCTTCCCATCTTAATCTTGGTCTTCACACTTTCCTATTTCCTTCTGGTTTAGTATTAAGTACTTTCTTAGGTAACGTTTCCACCTCATGACTCGTAATACGCGGGTTCAAATACCCGGCGGAGGTCGTCGAATTTTTAAGGACAGAAAAATTCAGGGAACAAGTCCTCCGGGAGGGACTTTAAGCCGTGGGTCCCGTGTCGTAGCTTTACGGCACGTAAAAGAACCTCATACCTCCAAAGGAGGTCACTGAGCAAAATTGCGGACGTTTGCCGCCCAATAGCAGTCATTAATACCTCCGGTAGATGTGGGAAGCATTATAGATACTTCTCAGCCAGTAGAGAGCCAGTCTCGCTGGCTGGGTGGGACTGATGGTAAGCACCAATACCGGTAGGATATAGAGGCTGGTAGAAATCATAGAGGGAAGCACAATGGACCACTACAGGTCTAAGTGCATGGGGAAAGCCACCCTCTCTAATAACTAACTAACTAACTAACTAACTAACTAACTAACTAACTAACTACTTTCTTAAACGTTCTATTCTCGCTGGCACGTATTATGTGTCCAGCCCATTCAAGCCTTTTCACCTTTATAAATCCAATAATGTCTGGTTCATTAAATAGTTTGTATAGCTCATGGTTATACCTCTTCCTCCATATTCCATTTTCTTCCACTGGTCCAAAGATATGTCAGCAATACTAAGAAACTTAATTACCTACAGATTTCATACAAATCAATCATACAATACATCGTCCCACTTTCAACAATTCAATACCAAAAGAAACCCAACATCTAACATTTTCTTTTATAGATTAAGTGAGGACAAGATATTTGTCATAACTTAAAATCATAACACACTCACTTCAGAATTTTAGGGACATGAATTCATCAACGGAATAAATGGAATGTTTCAACAGCAAGGATTTTAAGTTCCTTTTAAAAGAATTTTTTTTTATCTGCTCAGGGACCTTATTATACAAGGTGATACCCATATTTATAACACTTTTCTTCAAAAGAACTCTATTGCAACATGTAAATTTATTTTTCTTCGCATGTTGTAATTATGGATGTACACATTACGTTTTCATATTATTTCTCCAATGGTCTTCCTTAACATGCCTTTCTCCTTTGCTTATATCTTATAATCACTTTAAGTTGTCTGCCATTTTAAATTCTTCTAACATGTTATTACCAATTACTTAAATAATTTATAAAAATCTGATGAAACTGATTATTGATTTGAATAAAATTTTAATTGTTCTAAAATATTTTAATTTCTACAGGTTTAACTTTAATCATTCTGTTCCATCACATTAGTCAATATTATAGAATAATTTGACTATACCATCCAGTGTGACTCAAACATATACTATACACACGCACGCACGAATGCATGCACACACACACGCGCACACACACACACACACACACACACACATATATAATGATGCCTATACATGTTTCTGTCAATTAATGACCATCTTCAGAAGGTAAATAACAACACAAAGAGGAAATTGCTATTACATAAATCATAGTACATCAAGTTCCAAGTTGTCCAATAACAAAGTTGCCTCAACAAACAATGAAAGGACTAACAGCTTAACAACAAACACAGACTCTTAACCAACTATATAAAGAAGGAAGAAAACTGTCTGGACTTCCAAGGATGGCAACTTACCTCAATCTCCTCTTGATAGAAGAGGCACGAAGACATAAACCTTAGCAGTTTAAGATTTATATATTAAATATTAGTAATATTTTAACTCACCACATTTTATCTTAATCTTAATCTTATATAACTCTTTGGACAATATTTAACTTGATGTACCATGATTTATGTAATAGTAGTTTCCTCAACATGTTGTTATTTGCCTTTTGAAGATGGTCATTAATTGACTGAAATATTTATAGGCATCATATTTACAATATATGTCTGAGTCACACTGGACGGTGTAGTCAAATCATTCTATAATATTTCCATTTCATTTATGATTCAATATTATGAAAGGTTAAGGAAAAGTACAATTGTTTCTGTGCTTAATTAGGCGACATGCCATGAAGATGTATTGTGGACGAGAGGGATAGCTCCATAGCACAGCTCCCAGTGACCACTGGATAGGAGGCAGGTCTGAACAAAATGATGAAGAGAAGAATCTGTACCACTGCCGGGAATCACAACTAGTTCTTCTGTGTTCCAGCCATTGGCTTAGCTACTGTACTTACTTCTCTACATAAAATTAATTTATAATGCTGATAATCTCTTTTTATCTGTCTTTCAAATTATCTAGGCATAATAATGTCCTTGCTCCTTTATTATGCCATAGTGACTGACAATGTGAGCTTTGGATATTAGTATCTGTGTAACATCCAGCCATAAAGAACAATGTGTTAAAAATACAAAACAATAATAGAATAATTGTAGAGAAAATTAAGGCAAGCAAAATTTTTTTCTATTTTAATCTGTTGATTCATACCGGTACAAGAATTGGATATAGAAAAGTCAAAAATAATATATTACGTTTCAGAACCATTCTTAGTGTATAAAATTTTATTGCAATTCAATTTTATTTTGAAATATGAATAGTACATCTTTCCTAATTGTGTATTTGCTCTTGATAAACTCTGGCAATGGAGGGGAAGCAGCGACAATAGTTAAAAACAACAGATAATCCAAAAACCTGGAACTACTCACTAGCCATGCTGTGTTCAGTCCTGAAACTCAATTATTACCTACTGGTTACGATAGTCAGACAATTTTCTTTCCAAAAGAAGAAAGCAACTCTTGTTAAGGACAGACCTTTTTAAAGAGCAATAAAGTAATGGAACCGAAAGTTGCAACAGGGTAAGAAGATGGACAATCTACTGCAAATCATATAAATCATCATTGATACATATTAGTGATACAGATGTAATGGACAAAATAACTGCAGGAAGCTAAGGCCTCTGAAGTCCTCCAGTAAATCTGCAAAATGAATAATGTGGGTGCAGATAATCATGCATCTATTACGTCAAGACAGAGGATGCTGCAACTTGGCATGAAAGAATCCCTATAGAACAAATAATGTTATGAACACCATTATTTCACTAGCCTGTGACTACAAGGAACTGTAAGCAATAAAGCAGAGACCTGTTAAGTTCTATCTGAGAAACAAACAGATAACCTGAGAATATTTGGGTCCATCAGAATGAAGAAAGAAGAAGCAGATGAGTTAATGTATTGCAGGAGAGTACTTGGAGAGAACTGTGGGAACATCCCACATACTACCATGCCGTTTCGCTGATCAATGGACAACACTCACTCCTAAGTTGATAGCACATTGCTGCACATTTCTGTCAGCTCTCATATTTATACAGCATCCACTTGCAGATGATCATGTGCACTAACCAATCATATTGCTGGCAGCACTCGTATTTAAACAGCACTCGATGTCCAGCTCACATTTAGATCATAACGTGCGTTAGCCAATCAGTGCTCACAATTGCAACTGCAAGTTTCACTCCTCCATCAAGCATGGTATAAAATGCGGAGCCCAAAACTCGCAATCATCAGTGACCACATCAGCCAGTCAGCCATCACACTTAGTCCAGAGAGATCAGTCTTTGGAGTCATCAGATCTTCACTGCATCAGGGACAGCTGCCTTGGCTCTCCGGTGGTCATGCCCAACACACCGAGCAACTGGCGCAGCTGCCGCCACTCCAGTGACTGTGCTCCACGACCAGACGTCTTCCAGCAACCACGCACTGTGACCAGGCAACTTCCGGCAACTGCCGCACTGTGACCAGACAGCTAACTCAGCTGCCACAACATTAGCCAACACACCATAGCCAACAACTATTTCTACCAGCGCACGCAGCCCTACATCACTGGCCAGACAGACCAGCCAAACGGCCATGAAACTATCTACCGTGGTGAAACAAACGGCCCTTTTCAGGGTCCACAAACTTTCCGAAGTGGTTGTCTATTGGAGTATCGACAAATCCCACAGAATCATCTTCTGGGATGTAATGTCATGTAGTCCAGAAGAAGTACACCAGTGTTTTGAAGACTTCTACCAGATTACACAATTTTACATACAAGAAGATAGTACTCTTTATAGTCACTGCTGTGAGAACCAAAAATCCAGCATACTCCTCATGTCATCACTACAGCAGAATTTCCATTGCCATCTTGCTTGTGCATTAAATAATCCTTCTCATGAAGTTCTTATTTTAAATGGGACTTATAACATGTTAAGTACTGTGTTGGATTTATAAGAGGACAGAATCTTGGTCCTGTTCAATCAGGCAAAAATGTACCTGGTTATGAAGCTTGAATACACACAAAACCCTTACATGCATTTCATTCTATAAGACTTACCGACTTGAGAGTTTTTGCCCATAGGAGGAATCTGAAGGCAAACTTAACCTCTTCACCCTTAGCCATGGGTCCAAGTATACAGCGCATTTTGGAGCACCGAGTAGTGTTGCAGTGTGTTGCCTGTTCCAGCTCTGCCTCATCAACATTGCGTCGCTGTCGTGATTTACCACTACCTTCACTGGAACTATGATGCCTGTATTTGCGATATAACTTCAGCTGACCAGATGACCCATCCTCACTACCTTCCAATTTATTTTCGCCATCAGTCCTGTCACTTGAACTCCAGCTTGCACTGCTCTCATAATGGGAACCATAGTGTTGGGAGCCACCCCTGTGTACCCCACCAGAGTCATGTTGTCCAGCAACATCATCAGATCCCAAAATGGAGGAGCTGTAATGTCTTGCAATGTCAACACTGCCACCAGTGCCTCTCCTGTCTCCACTGTAATCACGGCCATAATTTGAACTATAATGCTGAGACACATCAAAATTATCATCATTTGCTCCATAAGCACTGTGCCCTCTCTGCCATGTATCATAACTGTAATCATTATTTGAACCATGCTGTGCAGTAGCACTTTTATCAGAACTGCTCCAGACATAAGAACTAGAAGGGGTGATGACATGTTGTCTTCTAGTTGCTTCTTCATCAACTCCTCCGTGCTGAACAGAACCACTGCCCGAGTACCACTGCTGTCCTGCTGCTGCATTGTCTGTTTCAATACCAATATGTGAATTCCTGCCAATATGCCCTCTGGTACTATCTAAACCAGAGCTAGAACTTTCATGTCTGCTTCTATCAACAGATACAGGATCTCCTGATATTTGAGGTGTCCAAATATAGTGGCGAAAGCCACCAGAGCCACGAGCACTTTCCTCTAATTCTGAACCAAATTGATTAGAACCTTCATTATGAAAACCATATGTACTATCTTGTGTTGATGATGCCGGATGATGTTGAGATCTTGTTCTATTATCATTACCTTGAGTGAACAAACCAGTTCTGTCAACACTTGACAAGTGTGAATTCCGATATCTTGCTCCAATGTTGTCTGAAATATCTGAGGTTTCAGTCGAAAAGGTGAAATGAGTACCTGCACCACCAAAGCCTGTACCTTGATAAGCTCTCCCAATATTATCTCTGTCACCAGCTGACCAGTTCGAAGAGTAATGTCGCATATCCCCTGCACTTCTTGAATTGCCAAAGTAAGTAGAGTTGTCTCCTTCTCTGGCATATCCATGCCTTGATCCAGCCAAACTTGAAGATGAGTGGTGAGAACTTCTGACATCGCTACCCCTTCCATATGCAGGAGCAACCATTCCTGAAACACCTTCTCCAGAGGTCCAGTTCGAGTAGCTGTAGTTACTGTATCTGTGTGGGACCTCCCCATTCTCACTCCACGTTGCAGAGAAGTTCCGAGAAGAATGTGCCCTAGATGTGCCTGCAGCTCCAACCTCTGCTCCACCTGCACTTATCTCTACTCCATACCCATTCCTCCGATCTTCAGCTCTCCCTCCACTGTCCCTATCTTGGCTAACACCAGACACTCCTCTGTAATTATCAGTACTTCCTCTTTCATTTTCCATTCTTGTTCTACTGCCATGCACTCTGCCTCTGCTGTGGTCACTTTCTGCCCTATAGCTACGTTCTGATGAATGCTGTTGTTCATAATATCCGGAAACCTTGCTTCCACTTGTTCTTGATAGTTCTTCCTCATTTCCAAACCCGAACTTCTTCTCCTCCTCATAACGTCTTCTTTCTTCTTCAGTTAAGGTTGTGAGTCTACGGTCAGGATGCTCTTGATCTTGACTACCCTGCCTCGTCCTTGAACCACTGCTGCTACCAGAAGAGGATGAAGAAAATGTAGATGATGCTGATGAAGATGATGATGAGGAGGAAACTGAAGTACTTGAGCTACTTGATGTTCCACTATGAGATGAACTTGAGCTCTCCTCAAAATGTAATTTCTTCTTGCGATCCAGCTGGAAAGTTAAAATATAAGAAGAATTATATTCAGTATGTATGTGATTTCCAGAGATGTGACAGTTAATGTGGTGATGAGAATCCTACTAATGCTAGACCCTGAAGTTTCTATAATTACTGTCTCAAATTGAAGAATGTTTAAATTATTCCACCATATATCTGTATTTGTAAGAATTAGGTATCCTATATTGCGCTGTGTGATTAACCAATTTGAGACAGATTCTTAACATTATTATTGTAACCGATCATTACCTATGGGCCTAATTCTTAAATATTACTACTCAGGACTTAATACCAGTCTTGTACAAAAGGTGACTTTTGCCCACTGTTAAACTAAATTAATGTGTCTCTTTCATTTTTCTGAAGCATAAATCCTGGAAAGAAGAAACCACTTTGGAAAACAACAAGTAAATGCAAGATAATATTAAATGGATATTAAAAAATAATGATATGTGAGGTTGTACATTAGATTCAATGGTCACAGGAAAAGTTCCACTGATGTCATCTTGTAAACAAAACAATAAGCCTTTGGTTTCAATAATGATCAGAAATTTCTTGACCAGCTGAGCGACTATCAGCTTCTGAAGAAGGACTCTATATCAAAGAGTCACTTATATCTGAAGGAGTGCATAATAGGGTGGATACAAAATATATGTACACAATTTATAAAGAAAAAATATGTTTAAATATATATTAACACTTTGCGGACAGCGGATGCATTAATACGTTTTTCGCTTTTAAACGTGGCGGACTGGTCGCATATTAATACGTTTTTAGAACACAATAAATTGCAACACACTATACATTGCTCTGGCGCCACTTACAGTGCACGCAACCACCTGCAGATGTGTGATAAGACTCTGGAATATTTAGTTAGCAGTCAGTAACTTGACCTCACTGTTTACTTAACTGACTATAAAGGAAAATGCTTTGTCTTCTTCAAGCTGTGTGTATCAGCCAGTAGCTAGTGGGGAGAATGGATCAAGGACAAATTCTCCTCAGATGACCTAGCTGACCTGCCTTGTGCGACGCGTAGTACTGGATTGTTATTCAGGCAGTGACAGTGACGGGGAATAACAAAGAATTATGGCCACAGGTAGTAAAAGTGACAGTAGCTCCGACAATAATGCGGGTAATAACATTGTGGGTAGTAACATTGCGGGGACAGCAAAAAATCTAAACCCTGATTCAAAATTGAAATACAAAGCATTTCTGATGAATGTGGCAAAGGCCTGGGCTACAGTCCAGATGGTGGTGGCAGAACCAGGGTCACACAAAGATTTAGTATGACCAGGCCCATCAACTCCCACCCCACGAAGGTCCCATGTGGACCCCCAGGGCGACTCTCGAGTGATATGCGGAAAAATACCCTCGTGAAAATTGTGAAGAATGAACATTCCAAAGGGAAGAATCCTCCTAGACAATGCTGTGTTTACACAGTTCACAAAAAAAGGAGTATGTCTACATTTGCAAGTTCTGTGTAACTCCACTTCACAAAGTGGAATGTTTCCAGAAATATCACACCCTCGAGCACTTCTAGGAGCACTGGTAAGTGTTCTCCAAAAATTTTAGTTCAAAAAATTAATTAGGAGATTTTATATTCATTTCTAAAGTGAACAGTGCACAAGTTTCGGTAGTATGTTTAAAAATGCCAGTCCCCAGGGTGATTTAAATATTTAAATCGCTGGTCTGCAAAGTGTTAAATAATTCAGAAATGCTCAAGATCTTGTATGGCTGCTGAAATTCATTATGATCCCATAACAAAAACTGAAATACCTTCAAATTAAGAGCATTGGCTTTGGCATCTCCAACAAGGTCACATCTAACAGGACCCTCAGTTTCAGGCATCTCAAGCAGGTAAAGAATATTTTCATCTGTAACAGAATATATTTCACAGGCCTTAGAAAGTTTTCTCTTTGGAGTGTTTATAAGTATTACATCATAAATGTTAAAATTTGATAAACTGGCTGCTCAGCATGGCACAAATCTATTGAATTTTAGATTATGGTATTCTGAGGTGTTGTGCAATATGATTTAGTAGACAGTTACCATCATTCCAGAAAAATCTGCTGCCTCCATCTTCAAGGCCGAATTTCCTATACTAAAGAAAGCTGGAAGCAGCAGTCTCTTCTGGACTGGCAGAAGTGTTTCAGAGGAACCTGCTACCTCCATCTTGAGGGTAGAAAACTCCTCTATCTGAAGTTAGGTGGTTGAAGATTATGAAAGTGGAAGACTTTTCTTCCCTGAAAATGAAGGTAGCTGGTGGCTCCAAAATTCACCAAACTACATAGTGCCATAACTCAGAAGACAGTAATGTTTATTTTCACCACAATGAGAAACTGTCTCATCTATCAAAGAATTAACAGCCTGTTTGTGAAGATGGAGGCAACATTCTGGTCAAAAATGTTGGTACCTACCTACCAAACAGCAAAGAATCAGATATTCACATTCCCAAAATTTAATCTGTGAGCAGAGAATTCTGCAGATAGATCTGACAAGGGATTAAACTCAAAATACTCCAAGTCATAATCAAGTGTCTCACCTTGGGACTGCATGTGAAAGTGTAGCATGATAAAGCATAAATTATGTGTGTTTAAAAACCAACTGGTGTAAGAAGGAAAAAATGTGTGAACTTTATGTTACACGTCTAGGAACTCTGTTATTTAAAGAGGTCACATAATATGCTAGGACAGTGATATTAAGAGGCTGATTATGATGGCAAAAATGAGAAATGCACACAAAATTTTGGCACAGAACCTCTTTGAAAACATTTACTTTGGAGACTGGGTAGGGGATGGGAGGATAACATACGAGTGAGATGAACTCTGAGGAACAGAGGTGGATGGATGTGATTTAGGTTCATGAGCAATGAAAGGTTTTGGATATAGCAGAGTTGAATCTTTGTGATCTGCTATGACTGTGTTACTTATCTATTATAATTATACAGCAAGCTTATTAAAAACTTAACTTCCTAAACTTCAGATAAGCACAAATTCCCAACTTAAAGGCTGAAGATGTGGCAATGTGCTAACTGATCACATCTACTTCAGGGGGCAGAGACAGGTGAGAACAGAGCAGAGATTCAGAGTAAGGCCTGAGTCAGTGCCCCTTTTACTACCATGATTCTCACATGAAACCACCCAGGTATAAATCAAAGGCTCCATAGCGAGAAGCCAGAGTCTAGCCACCTGAGCTATGACATGGCTACTGCTGGCTTGTACTTGCATAGTAATGGGTGATCCAATAACTTTAAAATTTAACAGAATATTAGTGCTGCCAACCTTCAAAGTTTATTTGTAAAAACAAAACACAAAGCGTAACGTTGTGACATGTTGCAGGAGGCTAATTCTGTGGATAGTCTTTGGGTCTTGTTTTTACAAATAAACTTCTAAGGCTGCTAGTGCCAATGTGACAAACAACAAAATGGTATAGTTACTTGGGTCAACTGCTATTACCTAAGTACTGTAAGCTAACTTATTTACTTACTTACTCATGGAGCTGAGCCCTTCTGGAGGAGCTGCCAATTCTGCAGCTACTCAAGAATTTCCCAGCATTTTATGGAACCCAAAGGTTCACTACCATGTTTACAAGAGCCCTCCACTGGTCCCTATCATAAGCCAGATCAATCCAATCAATACCATCCCATCCTATCTCTCTAAGATCCATTTTAATATTGTCCACCCACCTACGCCTTGGTGTTCCCAGTGGTCTCTTTCCTCCTGGCTTTCCCACCAATATCCTATATACATTCCTCATCTCCCCCATTCGTGCTACATGTCCTGCCCACCTCATCCTCCTTGACTTGATCATTCTGATTATACTTCGAGAAGCGTGCAAGTTATGAAGCTCCTCATTATGCACTTTTCTCCAACCTCCTGTC